TGCAGCGCCCCCTGCTGGCAGAGGCTGCAGGAGCCGGGTGCTCCCCCACAGCCTGCACCCCTACCCGGCTACCTGCAGCGCCCCCTGCTGGCAGAGGCTGGCTCTCTCCCACCCTGGCTCACGTGTAGTTGGTTTCCTCGGGTGCCGGGAAGGACTCCTTGGGCCAGTTGACCAGGCAGTTGAGGAAGATGAGGCAGGCCAGGCCCGACCAGGTCAGCATGATAGCGATGAAGGAGACTCCGGCGTCGTAAATCAGCTGAGAGCAGGGGAGCAGGAGTTGAGGGGGCGGGCACAGATGGGGAGGGGGGCAGACGGACAGGGAGGACCTGGCTGGCATCTTGGGCAGGGGTCACGCCAGTGCCTCTGATTTCTTGCCGCATACCAGGGTGCTGAGAACTCTGAGTCCCCTCCTCCCCCAGTCCAGCAGCCCCACTGCTCTGGGGCAAGAAGGGAGGGTTGAACCTGCCCCCTTCCCACCCCATACCTTGACTGCAGGGAAGGTGACAGCCGAGGAGGCATAGGAGCCGATCATCAGTGCCATGAAGGTGGAGCGCAGGTTCCCAAACATGTTAGGCAGCTGGGGAGGACACAGAGGGGAGATGTTGGGGGACCAACCCGGGCACCAGGAAAGCCTCCTGCCCCTCCCCAATTTCTTCCCCCTCTGCAGCCCAGCTTCTCCCTGCTGCCTGGCTCAGTCCGACTTGCCCTGGGGGGCCTAGACCCATTAAGTTCCAGGGGGGGGCATTTCCCTTTGACCCCAGTGGGGGGAGGGTCTCCACAGGGGAGCAGTGGAGGGGAGGAAACCTGGATTCCCGCTGGGGAGGGGTTGTGCATACACGGTTAGGGCAGGAGGGGGTGTCAGGCCTTGGGCTCAGCTCTGGAGCAGAGCCGGGGTCCACTAGGGGAGGGGAGCACAGCTGCTCCCCCCACCCCCTTCCAGCTGCTGGCAGGACACCTTGGTTTAGTAAACAGGCCAGCACATGGTGCCTCAGCCCTGTTCCAACACACGCCCTCCCCCGCAGTGCAGGGCCAGGGGGGTGTGCCCCCCCAGCCTGCCTTCCTATTGGCTGTCTGGCTACCTGCCCAGGTCACATGACGGCTGGGAGGGGGGGGGGGGGGGGGGGGGGGG